TATAATATATGTAATTATTAATCTTCCTCAACTGCTTAGCGGAATGGTTGTCAAGCATTCCTGGATATTTTTCATTTGCTTTCTACAGATTTGACCTTTATAATCTTTTTCTTTCTCTGGCAGTCCCCAAATAATTTACACCAAATATGTGTGAGCTTGTTCTGGACATACTGTTTTCAGTGATATTAAATCATTTTGGGGAGGAGACTGATCAGAAGGGATGAAACAATGATACACATGCTTCACCCTCTGGCTACCTCCACCTTAGTGCAAAGTGGAAACTGCTTTCTGGCTTTTGCTTTCAGCTTTTCTCCGCTTCATCTATTGGGTATCAGGGAGGAAATTCACAACAGGGGAAATCTATAGTTTGTCTCTCTCCTCTCACTGAGGTTCTCAGTAGCTCAAGTGATTTCCTCAAAGCTTCTACAGCTTTTATAAAATAGCAGTTTATGAAAGTGTTTCCAAAATTATTTCTGCTCTAACTTATAAACCTGTTTGTTTTCTTATAATAACCTGTTTACATTTAACAGGAGCATATTATTTCCTAGTCAGTATCTGTTAGGAATATCTTTCATTTTTAACATGGCATTTTAAAAATTTATTTATTTATTATTATTATTATTAAAGATGGGGTTTCACCATGATGGCCAGGCTGGTCTTGAACTCCTGACCTCAGGTGATCCACCCACCTTGGCCTCCCAAAGTGCTAGGATTACAGGTGTGAGCCACCGCGCCCAGCCTAACATGGCATTTAAAAGGTAAAGTGCTTCACTTAAAATGTTTCCATCCCTGGGTGCCAGGTACAGAACAATCGAGATTCCCCCTCAGCAAGTACCAAATTGTATTTTTGGGAGAGGAAAATAATAACTGTTTCCTTCTCAAATCCCTGGTCCACATCTCTTCAAGTTCCATAGTTTTTATCAAAGCCATTCCTAACAGCTGTATTTCTATTGGTAAACCCAAGATTCAATTCAAGATTTCAACCAATGGAGGGTTTTGGGTCAGTTGAGTCAGGGGTGTCTGGGAGGCAGGGATTGTGACAGGAACTTAGTAATGACTTCTTCCACATAGTTATAATAATCAGAAAACCTGGTGATTCAGGTAAAAGTGGAATATGGCTGTGTATACTTACCTACTGCTGTGTAAGAAATTGCCCAAACCTTAGCAGCTTAAGACAATGTTTAGTCTTGGTTTCTGTGAGTCAGGAATCCAAGTGTGCCTTAACTGAGCTCCCCAGGCATGGAGTCTCTTGCAAGGCTGCAATAGGGTAATGGCCAAACTGCAGTGATCTCCAGGCCCAGCTGGGGGAAGAAAGCCCAAGCATGCTCAAATGGGCCATAGGCAGGACTCATGTCCTTAAGGGCTGTTGGCCAGAGACCTCAGTTCGTTGGCACATGTTCCTCTTTATAGGATAGATTGCAACATGGCAGCTAGCTTCCCTCAAAGGGAGCAAGAGAGAGCACCTAAGGCAGAAGCCAGTTTGAGACCTAATACTTGCCAATGATAGCCCATCACTTCTGCTATATGCTCTTCACTAGAAGCAGCAAGACACTAAATGCAGCCCAAACTCAAGGGGATTGCTTAAGGCTGTAATTTATGAGGAGATGGGGATCACTGGGAGCTGCTTAGATGCTGCCTACCACAGGCTACATAGCTATTCTTTTATAATCTTGATTTTTAATTTATCTACAGCAACTTGTACTGGACAGACTGGAATAGAGAAGCTCCTAAAATTGAAACATCATCTTTAGATGGAGAAAACAGAAGAATTCTGATCAATACAGACATTGGATTACCCAATGCCTTAACCTTTGACTCTTTCTCCAAACTGCTCTGCTGGGCAGATGCAGGTAATACTACCGATGGAATGCAAATAGAAAGCCCCTTATTACAGGAATGTGAGCACTAACAGATTTTACTATAAAATCAAATCCCAACACTTCGATCTTTTGGTTTAAACACATTGATAACAGTATAGCACATAATCTCCTTTCTTTTGTCTGTAAACTTTTAAATACTGTTCTTAAATGAGTCTTAAAAATGAACTTTCTTGGGTTTGGGTGGAAGGAAGGCTACATCAGTTTGTACTGCTTGCCTGACCATGAGTGCTTAGCATACTCTTAACAGTTAAATATTAGCCACTGTTGAATTGACAAACTTCAATGAATAGAAACTATTCTTCTTGTGAGGAAGAGGATCACTATAACCATCTGTTATAATGCTAAGGACATTCTTTGAAAAGTACTGTAGCAGGGTGGCTTCCTTCAGTAATGACCTGGGCATTAGGAACCCATATTTGTTTGCTTTTGTTTATCAGCACAATTGAAAAAAATGCTATGTGTCTAGTTCTTCACTATAGAATATAAAAACTGTTCTTGAAGAATTTGTAATCTAATAAAAGGGCCTATAATGCAGATAGGTCACCTTTATAACCCAGTTGTGTAAAACAAGTTACATTTCTGCAAAGTATTTGAAATTTAAATTGGGGCTCTATGAGAAATGTGAAACTTGAAATAGCTACTGCAAAAATTTTATGACTGATTTGTTTACACTGATGCATGAGCTATGTTACCATTTTAGTTGCTTTTTTCTTCCTAGCTAGAAAATATTTTTAAAATAGTAACAATTTTCGTTAACCCATTGCTTACAAAGGGCAAGTATTTACCTGGATGTTATAATTTATAAGCTAAGGCCTGAAATCACACAAATTATAAAAATATTATGTCTAATGCCCTACTGTGACAGAAACTTACCAGATTTCAGTAAATGCAATTCTGTCTTCCAAAAAAGGACTGAAAGTTTGAATCTCTACTAAAAACTGGAATGTTATCCAATAAACTAGAGCCTAGTAATAGACCAGGTAAATTTACTCCTGCTAACCTATGACTGCAATGGAAGTAAAATATCCTATTTCCCATTCTTCCCTTGTTTCCTTAGAGAAGGAGTCTGTCACTATCATTTCTGGCAAAACAGCTTGTTACTCCATGGTGTGAAATTATCTCATTTTCTCTGTTTGTTTTAAAAGGAACCAAAAAACTGGAGTGCACACTACCCGATGGAACTGGACGGCGTGTCATTCAAAACAACCTCAAGTACCCCTTTGGCATTGTAAGCTATGCAGATCACTTCTACCACACAGACTGGAGGAGGTGAGCCTCACACATTCTGGTCAAGCCTGAAAAGGCCAACTCTTCCAGAGAACATGCCACTTGCTTTACAAGTCAGTATGTGACTTTCTTAATTAAGCCCTCTGAGGCTTTTGTTTCATCACCTCTCCTCACTGGCAGATAAGATCCTTCAAGGATGTTTCTTTTCATCCTTTCACGTTTTTGAAATTATCCTTTTACCTCACCCAGAAACTGAACAGTTTTGCTCACATATAGCTTAAAAGCAGCAAAGCTTTTTGATAAATAATCTAAAAAGGAAGCATATTAATCTAAATATGTTCTTCAGAGAATAAGAGACTACCCTTAAGTAATACCATGAGCTATATTAGATATAGGGCTTATATTGGTTTTTCTTTGACACTTGTGGACATGTTGTCTGACAGACGGAAAAATACTATTTAGACTAGTTCTCAACTAAGGAACTGTGGAACATTAAAATCTAGGCCCTTTACCCCATGGCCTACAAATCCAATTTGATAGATCATCATCATGTGATTCTAACATGCAGTTAGAATGAACAATGGATTTAGAGTAGTGGTCCTCAAGCTTCAGTGTGGCTTTAGCATCACCCCTTGTGCAGAGAAGGCTGGCAGACATTTTTCTCTACTGAAACTGCCTTTTTGTAGCTGACCTTTTTTTTTTTAAATCTAGTAAATGACTCTCCCTAAATTCACTCTTCCTTTCTGTTACCAGGGATGGTGTTGTAGCAGTAAATAAAGACAGTGGCCAGTTTACTGATGAGTATCTCCCGGAACAGCGATCTCACCTTTACGGGATAACTGTGGTCTACCCCTACTGCCCAACAGGTAAAATATGCTTTAGAATGCTCCTTTAAATTAGCAGGGTAGAGAAGGGATATATGAGATACTTGATTACCCCTGCTGTCTGTGACACTGCCACCATTGCCTTCTTCCTGCTCTGAGAACCACCTTTGAGCTGGGAAATTTAATGGCCACTACATGGGGGAGGGCCAGTCTTTACTGCCTTAAATCTACCTAGCAAAATGAAAAAGACTTGCTGTTGCAACTTGGTTACAATACACTCACCCCCGAGTCTCTCCTCTCTCACAGGAAGAAAGTAAATACAGTAATGTAAAGGAAGACTTGGAGTTTACAATCAGAACCTGGACCTTAAAGAACAGTGACTGAAAAGGCAAAGAAAGGAAAAAAGGAATAGGCCATTAGACGTTCCTGAACATACATGATGAACATTTTTTAGTGCAAAAAGACTTTTGTGAAAAGTTTATACCTCAATCTTTACTACTGTATTTCTAAAAATGAAGGTTCTTACTGCAAGTTTAAAAAGGCAATAGGATTTTAAAGCGACTTCCTGTAAACATTTATACCATATTTAAAAGGTCAAATTCAACAACTAGGAGTTTAAGATTCTAAATCTGATTTTTGCTATGGATTATTTCTGGCCAAGAAACTAAAGCACATGTGATCAATATAAAGATACAATCGTAAACCTTGAGAGTTGGAGAAGCCAATGCAGAACTCATGGGAAAGGACTAAATTATTTATAGTTTCCCAACCAAAGTTCTAAGATTTTTTTTTTTTTTACCTCTACATCAATACATTTCTATTTATATCACAAGGTGCTAAAATTTGTATTTTCTGATCCTGTAAGTGCCTCTATAGAAGTACCCACAGAAAGTATTACATTTTATTAATACCAAAGATGTAACAGTTTAAACATTTTCTAGATTACTCCAATAAAACATTTTTAAGTTTTCCTATGACTTATGGATCTACGTTGTCTCTAGGACAAAGTTGGGGGTTGGCATATACCTTAACCACAAAGGAGATTTATGTAAACATACAGTACATAATAAAAACTCTACTTTCCTAAACTTTATTAAAGAAAAAAGCAATGGTGGTAAATCTCTAGAACATACCCAATTTTCCGGGCTTCCTCCCCCGAGAATGTGACATTTTGATTTCCAAACATGCCAGAAGTGTACATGGTTCCCAACTGTACGAAGTAGGTGAGAAGCAGAAGTCCTGAAGTGTTCATCTTCCAACTTTTCCCAGTCTGTGGTCTGTCTTTGGATCAGCAATAATTGCCTGAACAGCTACTATGGCTTCATTAATTTTTGTCTGTAGCTCTCTGAGCTCTTCTATATGCAGCAATCGCAGAATTTGAGCAGCTTCATTAAGAACTGCATCTGTTTTATGAGAAAAGAACACTGCTTCAATACAGAATTTTTGCATTTAAGGTCATTTATTTTCCTCAAGTATTCAGTCTCTTAAAAAAAAAAAAACAGTTTGAATTTAAAATCAATCACTTACCCCCCGTGTCAAAACCAAGAATATGTTTGTCTAAAGCAACAGGCAAGCCCTTAAAAAACAAAAAAGAATACAGTTACCAATAACATTATTTTCTCAACTAAAACTGAAACGTACCTACCTATTCTAGTGTTTTACCTCTTTTAGCTGCACGAGCAAGGGAACTAGGAGTTTTGTTTAGATTTGCCTTGTGATCAGCGAATTTTCCCTATTTCAATGGGTTACGGGAAAAAGTTACCTTTAAATGTACCCGGAGGCTCTACAGCTCATCCAATCCTTTAGACCTGGTGTACAAACACTATATCCTTACTGCTGCAGCAGTGCCTTGTCAGTACTGCTGAGAAAGGCAATATGAGCGGGGCTATTACTGTCTTTTTTTTTTTTTTTGAGACAGTTTTGCTCTTGTTACCCAGACTGGAGTGCAATGGCGCGATCTCGGCTTACCACAACCTCCGCCTCCCGGGTTCAGGCAATTCTCCTGCCTCAGCCTCCTGAGTAGCTGGGATTACAGGCACATGCCACCATGCCCAGCTAATTTTTTGTATTTTTAGTAGAGACGGGGTTTCACCATGTTGACCAGGATGGTCTCGATCTCTTGACCTCGTGATCCACTCGCCTCAGCCTCCCAAAGTGCTGGGATTACAGGCGTGAGCCACCGCGCCCGGCCGTTACTGTCTTATTTTGGCTACAGTAATCAACAGTATACAGGGCAAAAAGAGTACATTATAGTTTTCCATTTCTGAGCATATTAATTTATCTTTAGAAACTGTACAAACCTATGTAAAATGTAACCACTTTTTCAGCCAGCATGGTGTTTACCAAGATTATGTATAATTTAACTTTCATGAGTTGACTTGGAAGTTTCTTTGAAACAGTCTAGGAAAATGAAGAAAAACTAAACCACTCAGAACCTATGCACATACTAAAGATGGTGACTATGATGATACCATTTTGTGAGGCCAAACTTCACAGAAACAAATATTTAAAATGAAGACAGTCAGTCTGTACTCCCTGCTGATTATATAAAATCATTGCCAACAAAAAAAACACACTACCCATACTTTCAATGTTAAAACCTGTTACTATTCAAATGCTTTAATCACTGCCTAATTCTTGTCTTATCTAGTAAGGTAAATGTACCTCGTCTCCATCTGCTTTAAAACACCTAAGAGATGTAAAGGAAGAAACAATGGGCAAGAAAGCACAATGAGCAAAATTAAAGAACAGAATTGTACTGAATGGCTTTATACGTTCATCTAGTACCAGAGGCTTGCTTTTTTCCTTTGTCTGCCAAGAGACCACCGAGAACAGCTACCCCTGAAAACTACCACATGCCTCAAATACTAGCTCATGAGTAGTTAGAAGTACACCAAATTATAAGAATGCCACTAAATCAGAGGCTGCGGTCTTCTGAGATGACACCAAGATTAAGATTTGGAGCATTAAAAATAAAACTAAATTTTACTTTCAAACAAGAGTAAAGAGATTTGGCTAAGCCTTTATTTACACTGCCTTCCAAAGCAGACATAGTTTTGCTGAATGAAAGAATGAATGATTTTATTACAAGAGAACAATTTACTGTCTGTTCTATAGTGTGGGTGACATAAGCTGATCTTTAATCCAACTTCCAGTGGCTCGATTCACACATAATGAGCCAATAAGAACCTTTAAAAGAAAACAGTGTCTTGCAGAAATACTGCCCTGACATTAGTAACCTTTTAACACTTCTGGGCCTGTCTCTGAAAGGGGTTGGGGGACAAAGCATGTTGGGAGAAGGGGGAAGGGTGCAGGGAGGACAAAAAACATAGTTGTGCCAAGGCATTCACTACAACCTCGTTGCTGCAGGAGGGAGGTGTTATCAGATACTGGAAGACAGTCTCTCCACTGCTGCACAGCCAATGAAACTTTAGGCATATCTGGATTTCTGATATAATCTAAAAATACTCCAGAAGCATGTATTTTCTCCTTAAGGGGAAGGTAGTCACGTGATACAGCTTTCTTGGCCTAAAAAGTAGGACTGAAAGATACCATTTCAGTCATCTGTACCTTGAACCTTACGCTCTAACAGAACCCCCACCCCTTCACTTGGGCGGATTGACAAACTCATGCTGAGATCCATGCATGGACCCTTGTCCCCATCCACCATAAGAGCACAGGCTTTCAAATCAGACTAGCCGCCTAAGCTCAATCACTTACCAGCTAGGTGACCTTAGCCAAATTACTTTCTCGTGTTTTATGCCAGGAAATTGAATAAAACAATAATTTACTCTGAAGAAATAAGAACAAGAATAGAATTTAGATGGGAAAAAAAAAAAAACCTAATTTATACTGAAGGGTGTTCCTTTTTCTCCAGCATGAGTCAAAATAAGTAAGTTTCATAAGAGTAAATACTTTTAAATAAACTTCAGCAGGCCACAAGCATGATTTATCGACCGTGGATGAGCTACTTGTAGCTTTCTAAAGTACAAAGTGTGATGAAGGTGAAGTTTGTTTTTCACTCAAAAATGACCCCCCAGCCACAGAATACATTCAGTTTGCTTTACGAAGTACTGAAATAAGCTATGCTTTCTCTAAGCTGTTTATGTAGAATGGATATCTGAAACAGATACATGCAAACTTTAAAATCATGGCAACAGCAGAAGAAATGTTCATTAACAACTTATTTAGGATTTATAGAAACATACCTCTTTTGTTTGATTTGCCTTAGCAACTGCATCCTGTGTCAGGCGCTCCTGAACCAAAATTCGAATTGCCTAAGAAACCCAAAAAGATTTTCACTTTATAGGTTTACCTGTCATCCTTTCTTCTATGAGCCTAGAGAATAAGGATGCTCAATTTGATGAAGTCAGAATTACCTAGTTCATTAATAAACCCTCCAATACATTAAAAATAAAAAACCAAACCACTAATATAATGTAACCTTTCACACTTCTAGTATTTTAATAATGTTGAGTGATGCTTGCAACAATTAAAACTATTTTTGAATAGGTAATGCACGTGCCTATGAAACACAGCAGAATACATGGCAAAAAGTGGGTCTCCTTCCTAGCCCTGCGATCCCCTACAGATTCTTATGTACACTCACACTAAAACTGCAAAATGACGAGCATGCTTATGCATGAATACACATTTTGACACAAAAGGTAGCAGATCATGCATACTGTCTTACACTTGGCTTTTATCACTTCACTCTAGTGAAATATTTTCTTACCTTTCAAAGGACACTGTTGGTGGTTTTAATAACCAAGGCATTTCATTATGGCATGCATATATCCAAGTATCCATACACACTTAAAAATCAAATTTTTTAAAATGGAATTTTAATTAGGGAGATGACAGTTACAACTCAAAAATAAGTGTGAAAACTTTAAATAAAAAAACCAAATACTATTTTTGAAAAACAGAATTCAAACAATGTTTAACAGCGACTGCAAACATATTAAATAGTCTGGTTGCCAAATAGTTAATGTACTGATTCTTGTACTTGACAAATGTACTAAGATGTTTTCCATATTTTGTTACTGTTTGAATGCTTCTTAAAATAACTCAAAAGGAACAAATGTGCAGCTAGGACTAGAATTTTGTAGCTTTTTGTTGTAGCTGATTTATACTTTATCCCCTTGGGTTTTGAAGTCTAACAAAAGCACCCCAAATATGCTATCCATTGTCTGATTCTCCTCTCACTTACTTTATGATTAAAGCTGACATGATCACTTTAGAACTGTTCCAAGGCAATTAACATAATTGTCTGAATAAAGACCAAGCCTTTGAAATCGCTAAATTTCACTACAAACATTTTTGTCTTTTGGGATGCAATCTGTCTTGAGAAAATCCAAGTTAACATTCAGATACAGTACAGAAAATTTTAATAACTTAGTTATTAATAACTTAGTACATAAAAATCTAAAAAGCATGTTAACTTACGGCTTAATCTCTTCTGGGTAGAGTGAAATTTAATTATTCAACTTATTACAAAGTAGTTTACATGCACAAGGTCTAGCTTTTAATCTCTTGTAAAATCAGTAATAATTTCTAAAATAATTTCCAAGTGTGGTATCTTAAGTACCACTCCCCTGATCCACACCACTGTACTTGCATGAATACTAGGAATAAATCTTTTGAAGTTTATGATTTCTCTCAGAAACAAGAGACCTCTTTCAGATTACTGGGCTCCCTGAAGTATAGTTATAAACTGAGTGGCCTATGTAGGATGGGGAACAGAAACATTCATTTCTCAAAGAAATTTTGGGGTTATATATATTTTTGACCAAATTCACCATTACTCATTTGGCATTTTTCACCATCTTAATGAATACAGACCATGATTCATTAAAAGGACTAACTAAACAGAAGTATGGTAATGTGGAAAAAGAATGGACCACAGAGTTACAGTGCTCAAAATCCTGGCTCTATCATTTTAGACGTATTTACCTATCCTCATTAAGTCTGTTTCTTCATATCATATATATTTTTAAAAGATAGCATTTGTCTCTAGGACTGTTGGCAAGGTTGAATGAGAACATCTTTGCAAAGGATTTAGCATAGTGGCAGGCACAAAACAGACAATCCAAATTCGATAAAACCATGAAATCTGCTTTATATCACACATTCTTCTACTGTATTTTAGTCATTCGATCATAATATCAATAGTTAATATTTAGAAAATAAAGACATTAATCTACATGCAGTTTCTGTCAAGAATCAAGAACATGAAGCTGACCTTAAGCATTACCAGGTAATCATCATGACGTTGAATCTGAAGCAGGTTTGCCAAAGCCATCACACCAGCCTTAAAATCAGGATTATTTACTATAGAAGATTAAAAATAAAGAAAAACTTACAACTCTGTAAATGTATAATTACAGACATATTTGTGGACACACAAAAACATTTTTCACTTTTTGGTAACAACAAATCTCTTAGTTTTTAAAACTACTACTCACAAGATAAAAAATGAAGCCCTGCAGACTATCAACAATTAAATAAATTGGTAAAAGATAAAATGGTTTTCCTATGACTGTATGAGATGGTCCCCGACTTAGGATGGTTGGACTTACAAGCTTATGACCTTAAAATGAATTCAGTGGGATGTAACCCTAGTGCAAGATGAGGAAAATCTGAACTTACAGTGCTTCCAGTTTCATTTTTCAACTTTACAATGGTTCTTTCGGGGTATTACATGAATTTTTGACTTAAGATATTTTCGACTTTGGGACATGATCTCATCATCATTCAAGAAGCATATGTATTTCATCAGCCAACTTGAATAATTCAATAAATGACTAATTTAACTCACATTAGGTTTGTCCTGTAACTTTTTCTGCAAGGCTAATTTATGTAGCACTTTTAATTAACATTTCTTCCCAAGGCTGTTAATTTTAATACATAGATCCCCTCAATGGATAGTTTTCCCAAAACCTTCTCGCTAAGCAGCGGCCCAGGAGTGCCTAAGAGCCTCACTCATTCAAAAGGGTTAACTCCTAAATTAGAGGTCACAATGAATTAGCCAGTGAAGGAATATTTCACATATCATAATCTAGGTAATTAGATTCTTCATACTTTTAAAGAGAGAAATTACTCAAAGACATCTGAGATTTAATGGAAAATTTTACCACTTGTCTCATAGTCACTGGATTAAAATAAATTTATACATTCAAAAAGGTAAACAATGGCTCCATGATTAAATACAAATTAAAACCCCAAATTTCTAGAGGCAAATCAAATTAACATTCAGATGTTCAAATGCAAGAGGAAGGAGAAAGCACACTATAAAAACATTATAGAGAATAAAATGCTAACATAAATGCTGTCTGCATGGATCCTTCTTAATTTACTAAAACCAAGTAAACGTGGACTTCATTCTTCAAAGTAAAAAACATTTAAGCAACCAAAAATATTGATGTTCAATGTTATGCATTTATATACTCACCATCCAAATTGATCAATGGTTCTGCGTTTTTAGTTGCATTGTCAGCAGTTTTTGCATTATCAGGTACTAAGTCCTTGTATTTTTCAGCTGTAAAAACAGGCAAAAATATCATTTGTAAGAACTGCAACCTAAGGTAAAATGACTACTGCTATTTACCAAATTTAACTGAGCTAAACTGATTACAGGTTGGGTACTCCTTATGCAAACGCCAATAATTTTCAATTTTTACTTTTTCCAAACTTTGGATTATCTGCATATATAAAATGTGGTATCTTGGGGATGTGACCGAAGTCTAAACACAAAATTCATTTTCATGTTCAATATACAACTTACACACATAACCTAAAGGTAATTTCATAGAGTATTTTTAATAATTTTGTGCATGAAACAATGTCTGCGTTAAGTACTTATGTGTGGAAATTTCTACTTGTGTGATCATGTCAGTGCTCAAGAAGTTTTGGATTTTGGAGCATTTAGGATTTCATTTTCAGGTTAGGGATGTTCAACCTGTATAAGCATAAGCAACCCATCCAATCAAACTTAATTTTTACTATAGAAAATGTAAAAAGACAATGTAACCATCTTTTCAATTAAGCTAAAGCAATTACTGGACTATGTGACACAAATCTCTTTTCATTAACATTTCTGAAGGCAATCATTTCAAACGTAAATTTTAGGAAGGAAAAAAATCTGTTTTTACAGCTTCCTCTGAAATTTGAGGTAGAAGAACGGGAGGAGGATTATTACATAAGATTAAATACAAACTCATTAAAAAGCACACTTCCCCAACCCCCCATATCTTCTTTTGAATGCTGTATATAAAATCCAAAAACCTTGCATTACAAAAAAAAAAAAAAAAAAAAACCACATCAAATACACCATCATATATAAACCTCAAACTTATTTCATGAAAATGTGATATTCAGAATTCCAAAGGTAGATTTTATTTTCATTAGAAAAATAATACTTAAGTTCACAAATAAAAACACTTAATAATTCACTAAACAATGTTAAAAATGGCGTCTTAGGCTATAGAGTGCTTACGTGATCTGTTAATGAAACAAGGAAAAAGTAAAAGCATTAAAATTTAAGTTGGAGTTCAAAAGGCTCCCAGGGGCCACATCTGGAACAGTATAAACAGCAGAATATGTGATGGACAGAAAAGACAACAATCCATTGAGTAAAATAAGAATCCATGTATCTACATTGATTTAAACAAACAACTAAATTAGAGAGAGGAAAGATTAGAGATGGGAAAGCTTACAGGAGAAAACCAACAAACAATGTAGAAAAAATGATGAAAGTAGAAAAACACCTCTTGTTGATAATCAACATAATAAATGATTCAAGGCAAGAATCATCATATGGTTGCTAAAACTAGTGGGAGAAATTTGAGGGGCAAAAACGTAATTGATAGTCTCAAAGTACCTCCCCACAAGATATATTACAAAGAGGAAAACAGTAAAATTTACAGTGGAGAAACCGTAACCCAGCGATCAAAGTGACGTAACTAGTAATGCGACATATCACTATCACGTATCGCCTAATATGATGCACTAAAAAGAACACATCACTTCTGTGTTTTTCCTAACAAAAATATAAACCCCAAATCTAATCATGAGGAAACATCATATAAATCCAAACTGAGAGACAAAATAAATGTCAGTCTCATGAAGCAAAAATACAGACAGGAACTGTTCCAGATTATAAAATACTAAAAGAGATGTAACAACTAAAAGCAACGCATAATCCAGGATTGCTCTGGGTTTTTTCTGCCGGGAGAAGTGGGGGCTTGGTAAAATGTGAACAGCATCTAGAGATAACAGTAGTATATCAAAGATAACTTCCTGATTTTGATCATTGTACTGTGGTTATATAAGACAAAGTTATTTTTAAGAAATGCACTTTAAAGTATTTCAGACTAAAAAGAAATCATCTACAACTTACTATCGAATGGTTTAGAAAAAAATGATGTGTGTGTCTGTGCGTAGAGAGAAGGATGAAGCAAATGAGGTAAAGTGTTGAATTTGTAGACTTGAAGTATATGAAAATTATTTGCACTATTTTGTAATTTTTCTATACATCTGAAATTATGTATTTAAAAAATTTCAGTTATCAATACCGTTAATTGACAAGCCACCAAAAGGCTTCAAAAAAAAAAAAATAGTAGAGAACAAATAATAAAAACTCACAATGGTTTCAGCAAATTTTAAAATAAGTAACCTAAAAGTCAAGGAGGCAAAGTATCAATGTAAAACCACAAAAGAACATCAGCGCCTCCTACTGATTAGAGACAGTATTATTTGACCAATTTTCAAGTCTCTTCTTGCAATTCTAAATAAATGAAACTTGTTTTCTAATTTAGACTTTTAATACACTTTTGATACCACTCACCTTCAACTATATGTTAACTTCCTTTTTCAATACTGAAAAATTTACACTTCACACATGACCTTCCTTTATTCATTAAAAGAACATGCTATTACTGAGAAATAGGTATATATAACCATGTGTATCTACACTGAAGGTTAATGAATTACAAAAATGGAACAAATAGAATAAATAGAGATGTAAGAATTTATTTGGCAATAACTGAAAAACACTTTTGATAAGCTACAAATTGGCTCCTATACAGTTCCTACCAATACAGAGCAAGGTAGATAATAAAAAGACCTTGTTAAAGGCCCTAGAAATCAATTAATATTACACCAAAGCCACAAGGCGTATGAATACATTTATTTTCTAATGGAAGAAAAACAAGGTTGGTTTTTTTTTTTTGAAACTGTATAGAAAAGTAAACTAAGTCTCAAATTAGAGCTTTCCTTAAGATTTTTGCCATAAGGCTTCTGAAATTTAAGTCTGATGCACCAGCAAAAAACTGGCTGATGCTCCTTATCAGTGTATGCAAGCACTCACATAGACTGCATTCACACACAATTACTGAAACTGACAGGCACTTGTTGTGTGCAAGAGACCATGTCAGGTACTGTGACATATAATACTGACCTCTACCCCACCAAGATGTCCACGTCCAATCCCCGGAACCTGTGTATGTGTTACCTTATATGGCAAGACTTGCAAATATGATAAAATTAAGGATCTTGAGATGGGGGATTATCCTGGATTATCCAGGTGGGCCCAGGAGGATCAGAGCCAGAGACAAAGTTATGACAATGGAAGCGGAGTCAAAGAGAAACTGTAAAATGCTATGCTGCTAGACTTGAATATGGAGGAAGGGGCCAAAGTCAAGGAATCCAGGCAGCCTCTAGAAGGTAAAAAAGCAAAGAAACAGATTCCCCTGAAAAAGCCTCCAAAAGGAACCAGCCTTGCTGACAACTTGACCTTAACCCAGTGAGTTACTGTCACTTAACCAAGCTTTGGTGTAGTATAAATTGATTCCTAGGGCCTTTAACAAGGTCTTTTTATATACCCTGCTCTAGATTGGCAGGAATTGTATATGAGCCAATATGCAGCTTATTAAAAGTGTTTTTTGGTTGGTCCCAAATAAATTCTTACATCTCTGTTTTATTCTTATTCTGTTTGTTCCATTTTTATAATCCATTAACCTTCAACATCTAATGTTGGCCTTCTCACTCTAAAATAATAAATTGTGTTTTCAGTCCCTGAGTTTGTAGTAATTTGTTACAGCATCAATTGGAAGCTAACAGAGACGCCCTGTAGGAAACAAAGCCGAATATCAGCTTACAAATCTGGGACAAATAAGACATAGAAGCAAAATGGAAAGTGGTCAATGACTTAAAAGGTACAGAGTTAAAAGCTATGGCAGTTCAGAGGGAAATACTGCTGCTGCTAAGACAAAAGCAGCATACGAGATGGATCTTTAAAAAGATGGTTAGGATTTAGATGTGAAGAGATGGAATGAAATGGTATATTTGCCAAGGGAAAAGTGTGAACAAAGAAACTGAGGAGGGAAAAGGGATATAAACAGGAAACAATATTATTCTAATTTCGCTGGGATGTCAAATGTGAATACTGGCTGGGTATCAGCCATCATTAACTACCAGGTTGGAGCTTAAAATTCTTTTTGTAGAAAATGGGAAATTAGTGTTTATGAATATGTATGATGTTTATTAATATGAATATGTAACTGGAACTACTCTTTGGAAACAAGGAGTAAGTGGCAGCCTAAAACAGATTTATGTTTCAGAAAGTTAGCTTGGTTGGCCATGCAGTTAAGAAAAGAAGGTGACATTAATGCGAGATATTACAATACTCTTGGCAGAAAGTGACAAAAGCCTAAATGAGGATCATGCCAATGGGAATGAAGACACAACAAGCACGAGGAAAGGTCAGTGTAGGCAGGATGAAGGGAAAGGGATAAGCCAAAGATATAAAAAGGCTTCCAAAGTAAGTAATCAAAAGGACTGGAACTAACTGAAAAACACAAAATGCAGAGGATGGAGGTAAGATAAGATAATCAAATCTTGCATTTAGATGTTGGCAGGCCTTTAAAAATGAAATGGTCTAATGAGACGAAACACATGTTTAATGGAAAATTGTTTTCACTATAGGTACACTAATATTCAGAAGCTTCCAACCATAGAAGTATCTGATAAGACAAAAGCATAAGTAACATATTCTGGCCTAGAGAGTATTAATGTACATTAGCATTAGACATATTTCAGTCTCTTGAGAAACGACCTGCTGCAACACTTCAAAGTTCCATCAATTCTGAGACACTAACAACAATTTAATTTGAAAGGCTGAGGTGCAGACCGTATTATCAAAGTGGTGTTACTTCATGAGAAGACAGTCAATTAGCCTTCCCCAAAGTGCACCATTTCCAAATTCTAAAAGAAATATATAAACACAAATGAAAGACAATAAAAGTGCTTTTAACTTGTGATAAGAATGAACGAAGGTAAAATAGTATTAGACAAAACAAATTGGTAAGTTCCCTACATTTTCACACTCCCTTTCCCATCTTTCCTCTTTAAAATAAACATTCCCCACCCACAAAACGTACCATTATCTCCGTATTCAAGTCTAACAGCTAAACCAAGAAGCCAGTCAATGGCTTCCTGTCGCTCTTGAATCTTGAAAGGACAGTTAACATCTCTGAGATACTGTGAGGGGGAAGAAAAAAACCACCAGTTTCATTATTACCATAAAGTCACAGAAGAAAGAATAGTAGAGTACAAAGAGACCTTAGTTTGGATCTCTAACAATATTTTAACAACATTTATATTACTACACTTTAGGTGCAATTATATAACCCAACAGAAGGGAACATTTAAGTGTACCACCTTCAGAAAAAAAATAGAATACAACAACTTCCTCATTTTATAGATGAGAAAGCTGAGGCCTAGAGAGACTGACACTTGCCAAGGGATACAGGACTTACACCTGGGACTAGAATCTAAGCTGATTCCTAGTGTCAATATACACAGAGCAATTAACCAAAAGGGGTACCTTTAAAAAGGATATACAATAAATCATTATCTAAACCTTAATTTTCATACTACGGAAATGCCACTGCAAAGAATAGCCATGCAACATGCATGTAGGGTGTAACCAAGTATTTTAACTAAATGTCAGAAGCTGCACATTCAAAAAATGTTGAATAGTATTATATTCAACATTGTATATAACATTATTATAACATTATAATAATATAAATGTTGTCCTTCAAATGAGTCTTTCAAGAGTTTAAAACCTAATGCCAGCAAAATGTTATCAGTCAAAACTGCTGGAGCTTTGTAAAAATCCTTTCAGGGATAATTAATGAATCAGTACCTTTTAGTCATAACACATTTTCTAACCAAAAATCTTATCCCTTCAACTCACGAGATTTGGTTATAATCCAAAAGGCATATCTACCTTCAAAGTATTAAAAAACTGTCAATACTAAGGGTATTTAAACAATGTAACTCATGATTTAAAAGCAATTCCAAAAGGGAAGTTCCAAATATGATTTAACAATGACATCACCATTCTGAAGAAACCAACTTGAAGGATAATAACTGCCTAGGTAAGTTCTGATATGTTTAAGTTATTTTACCTTATCATTCCAGGTATTTCGCATCAGAAATGCGCACACGCACACACACACACACACACACACACACACCCCTATATATATGAGACAGAGTCCTGCTCTGTTGCCCAGGCTCGAGTGCAATGGCACAATCTTGGCTCACTGTAACCGCTGCCTCCTGGGTTCAAGCGAATCTCCTGCCTCAGCCTCCTTAGTAGCTGGGATCACAGGCATGCACCTCCATGCCTGGCTAATTTTGTGTTTTTAGTAGAGACAGGGTTTTGTCACGATGGCTAGGCTGGTCTTGAACTCCTGACCTCAGGTGACCCACCAATCTCGGCTTCCCAAATTGCTGGGATTATAGGTGTGAGCCACTGTGCCCAGCCCAGAAAATTTTTTATAATCTCCAAATACCCTTCTACCCGTAGAATTCTGTATTGTCTTTTAACATGAACAGATCATAAAATGTAATATAAACAAAATAAAATCCTAAAAATCTATTTCAAAGTGTTAAGAAGCCCACTGAAAATTTTAAAAATATTTTCTAAGAGCAAAGGAAAAGCATACAGTAGTATTAACAGTAGCAGTACAGAGGCATTGGCAGTAGGAAGCATATCACACTTGGTAAGCACCAGGCACTTCCATGAAGTCATTCATGAACAACAGAGCCACACCTAGGGGATGAGATAGGTACCACTGTTACCCTCACTTATTGATGAGAAAATTGAGACACGGAAAGTTTACTAACGCTGAGGTAATTTATACAATCCCTAATTTATAAAATCATTGATTCTGTGGAGAAAGTACCTAATCTTGTTCTAGCAAATCAAAAGCTTAGCCTTTTTCATATTTTTCAAGAAAAATATTTCACTCATCAAAGTAATATAACTGATGAAAATGTTTAATATAAGTAATGACACTGTGAAAGGATTTTTTCTGAGATTTTTTTTATGCAAAAAGTTACTAAAACTAAATCAATGGGAAAATTATTCAAGGCACAAAAATATGATATACCAGAGATGTTTTAAGGACTATTTCTCTAGTATACAACAATGGATATCTATGTTAAATATAAGTATAAACATGACAATCTTAGTTTTCAAGCATGTCAATGTCTTTTTTTTTTTTCTTTTTTACTGAGACAAGTTGTCACTCTGTTGCCCAAGCTAGAGCGCAGGGTTCTAATCATTGCTCACCACAGCCTCAATCTCCCTAGGCTCAGCTGATCCTCCTACCACAGCCTCCTAATTAGCTGACACTACAAGTGCATGCCGGCACACACAGCTAACTTTTCTATTTTCTTGTAGAGACAGGGTTTTCTCATGTTGCCCAGGCCGGTCTCGGAACTCCTGAGCTCAAACGATCTGCCACTTCAGCCACCCACACCTGGCCAATGTCTTTAATATAAGAAATAGCACTGTAAGTGTATTATTGCTCCATTTTCAGTTTAACAAAAATTCTGATTTGGGCCATTAAAGGAAAGTGAAATATTTATATCATTATTTAAGAAATGTCATGTTTCTAGAGAAAACTATTTATATCTAATACTGAAAGCTTGGTAGGAAGCCATAAAATAATTTGCTCTAAAAGCAAAAGAGACATAGTAAGAAATTTGCGAAACCCCTGAAATCCAGCTTTCCTAATACTATCATTATCATTTTTAAGTAATTTTAAGCTCATCTTCATATGATTTTCAGATAAGCTCTCTGTACTTTTACTTTACTTCCTAATTCATTACCTTTTCAAAGAACTTGGGCCAATCACTGCTGTGGATGTTTCTTAAATTACCTCTGTCTTCAATCTTGTAGTGTCTGATTTTCTGGTCTTCAAGCCAAACAATGAAGTTTCTAAATTCTGTTTCATCTGCAATTAAAAAAAAAAAAAAAAAATCACATAAATAACTAGAAGCACTACATAAAATACCTCCTTCACCACAGATATATGTTCTTGTAGAATTTTCTCAACCTTGAAATACTAAATTAATTGAACCAGAAGGAGGAGTTGAAAGTAGAGATTCTGGAGTCACAAATTAACAATGATCTGTTCAAAGCCTGGCCAGAATTCAAATTCTGGGTTCAAAGACTTAGTAGTTGTGTGAACTTGGGATAATCACCTACATTTTCAGTGCCTCGGATTCTTCAGCTGTGAAATGAGGGTGATAATAGAACTTACCTCACAGAGTTGTTATGAAGATTAAATAAAATAAATATGGATAAAAACAGTTCCTGGCACACAGTTTTGGTATGTAAGAGTTAGATATTAATATTCCAGTTCCTTTGAGGGTAGGAAGGGGAGAGAGGGCAAGGTTAAATTTATAGCAAAGTAGTAAAGTAAAATAAATAACAAATAAGTACAAGAAATTGACTACTGTTGTCACGTAATGTTAACTGCGCATTAAGTGCATACGTTATTTTGTTTAATCCTCCCCATGCTTCTTTTGAGGTAGGTAATACCCTATTTTACAAATAAGAACATTGAGACTCAACGACTCCAATCCAGATCTAGGCTCTATTGTCACTGATCCTTTTTTGTTAAAGTAAAAAAACAACGGATTATAATTTGATATGCTTCTACAGGAGATCAACAAAACACTGTAATCCTGCTTAGAAATTTTCAATTTGTGAGTCAAATTCCAGCTTCCATAAGTATCACAAGTAATAGTTGATCACTTTCAAACTTACTTAATCTACCACAGGCCAGAACTATAAAAAGTGAGTAGCAACGTAATTACTTTTTAAAATTCTAATGCTGTAAAATCCCAAATACCTTTGTATTTCCAATTCAACCTCCCCACTCATCTGTTACTAACTTTTTTGCAAGACCACACAACACAATCAGACCGTTACTACACGCGCTTACTCTCCCACTGTGATCGGTTTTGATTTCATTGTGTACTGTCTTGGTCTCAAACTGCTCAGTGGGCTCTGACTGCTTCCACCCCTTGTACCCCCCGACCCCTTGACTCCTGGCAGGCAGTGAACTAGTCTTCAAGTTATTAGCACCTTCCTCAGAAGCCAGCACCGCGCTGGCTCACAATTAGCAGGTGCTCAAGGTATCGCCTAATTACCCGGGGAACCACGGAGTTGAATGGTGAATGAGAAAGACGAATGCTTTCCCTTTTATGTGCTGAGAAAATAGTTACGTGGCGTTAGGAGTTAAGCAAGTGCAGAAAGTGACGATGCCGAGACAGGAGTTAAGCAAGTGCAGAAAGTCACAATGCCGAGACAGGCCCCCGGCGGAGACAAGGCCGCCGAAGGTCCCGGCGGGGAGGTGGAGGGGCGGCACTGAGGCAGGGACCACCTCCCGGGTCGGGGACACGCTGCCGGCCCGAGGCCGCCGCCTCACCTTTGCAGTTGAAGCCAGAGGGGTTGTGGTAGTCCAGAGCCGTCAGCTTGCGTCGGAACATGGTCCCCGCTTCTCGCTCTGACCCCCGGGCCTCGGCCGGGAGAGGAGAAGCGAGGTGGAGCGGGCGGCGCAGGCACCGGCGACGCGGCGAGAGGGCGGGCTGGCGCTGGGACGCTATGAAATGACGGCGGCCTTCGCCAATCGTGGCTTAAAAGCGGCGGCCGCCGGCAAATGCCTACCAATCGCGGCTCCAGCTGAAGAGGCGGGGCCACGTCGGCGGACGTCGACGCTCAAACAAACTTTATTGTCAGCTTCCTGGTTGTACAATAGGCAGAAAACCACCGGGAAGCCGCTTTCCTTTCTCACTTGCTGTAACATACAGAGAATAGTGTATGTAGGCTTTTGGTATTCGCTGTACCTTCCGTTGGATTACAGAATTACTGTTTAGCGTTTTGAGTGCATTCATTCATTACTCCTCCCACATAACAGGTGCTCTTCTAACGCTGGTAATACAAAGACTACAAAGCAAGGTCCCTGCAGTAAGATGTTTTTAGACTAGTTGGGAGTGATCCACAGGTAAACATACAACTGTTAATACGGTGCGATAGTTCCAGATATCCTCAGCCGGAGTGAAATCTGATACTAAGATCGTCCCTCATTCCCCCTCCCACTAAGTCACAGCATCCTGTAAGTCATCAATTCGTTCTGTCTCTCCTAACTCTCAAATCCCTCACCTCTTTCCAGACCCCACTGATAACAGCCACAAATAAGACCGTCATCACTTTTGCTTACTTTAATTATCTAACTGATTTCTTAGGGCCAGTCCTGGCTTATCCAAACCATTGCCCACATAGCAATGAGAGAGATTTTCTAAAGCAAAAACCTGTCCATAACTTTCTCTGCTTATGTTTTAGTAGTTCCTGTTTGCTTCCTAGAAACAATAAAAGCTCTTTATTGTATTTAAGATCTTTCCTGATCCAGTCTCTACTTGGTTTTCAGGCAGTGGAGAGAGAGCAGTGAACAAGACAGACCAGGCCCCTACTTTCATGGAGTTTAAAAAGCTAATCAGGGAAACAATAGATAAGTATAAACTAAGGCTTGAAGATGAGGAGGCATTCACCATGCAGTCAAAAGGGTAAAGTAGTTTGAGAGAAGAGGAGGTATAAAGGCAAGAAATGATCAACAGCAAGACACAGAGGGACTAGAGTTTATAGAGGCTGGAGGGTGAGAGGCAATGACAGCTGATAAGGCTCTGATTAGGAAAAGTCTCTCATGGCAAGCTAAGGGAAGTTATTGAAATTCTTGGGGGTAAACCAACTATGTATGTTTCATTTCATTTCATTTCAACAGATTTTAATTAAACACTTAGGATCTGTGGAGCATACAAATGAGTAAGCTACAGTCTCTATTTTCAGTAAATTTAAGTATAATAACAAACATAGATGTGTAAATAAATACTTGTAATCTAGAGTTAGAAAGGGATAAGTGAATTACAAGAAGTACAAAGTGTACTACGGTACAAAGAAGTACAGGCCAGGTGCAGTGTCTCATGCCCGTAGTCCCAGCAGTTTGGGAAGCTGAGATAGGAGGATAGTTCAAGCCCAGGAGTTTGAGACCAGCCTAGGCGACATAGTGAGACCTTGTCTCTACAACAACAACAACGAGAATAACAACAACAAAATTAGCTGGGCATGCTGGTGTGTGCCTGCGGACCCAGCTACTCAGGAGGCTAAGGGGGAGAGGATCGCTTGAGCCTGCAAGGTTGAGGCTGGAGTGAGCCATGATCATGCCAACCTGGGCAACATGCAAGACCTCATCTCAAAAATAATAATAAGAAGTATAGAGGCCAGAAAACGGTTTTAGTTTTAAGGGGGCACAATAAGACAATCTATATTTTCCAATTAAGATGCTTACCGGGTGAATCAAGAAAACCAGTTCAAGAGTGTCTTGTTTTCAACAAAATTTGATAAAAGGTGCAGCTATAATCTCATATTGTGGTACATGCTAGTTGTATAATTAATGAAGTACTAACCAAAAAATGAAAAAAATGAACCAATCAAGGAAGGAAAAATAATACTTACATACAAATAATAAATTAAAAAGGGGAGAAATGCAATTGCAGACAATGAATTTGTTTTTAAAAAATAAGAAAAAACTTACCAATTTTTTTTTTTTTTTTTTTTTTTTGGAAATTGACCTTTCAATGCAAAATATGAAGTTGTTTGCTCCTGCCCTAGTCTTTCTACTTCAGGGTCCCAATTGTCAGCAACTTAAGACTGTCCCTGGTCATCAGCCCTGGCCACCACCAGGAGTGGGGAGATTCAGATGATGCAGAATGCTAACCTATCATACTGGGGCATGGGATAAACCAAATTTTGGAAAATAAGTATAACATATTATATTAATCTATTTTTTATTTTAAAACCCAGTTATCTTTTTTATTCTCTGAATTTGAAGGAGTTCCTTGGCCTATTGTGAATGAAGTGTCCAACAGAAAGTAAATCTTACAAAATTCCAATTATAAAGACCAAGCTCTCTGTGTATTTCAAGAAAAGGAAACCATCTTTTTAGGTGTGTTTTCCTGAGTACCTCGTGTTTAGCTCCCACTCATAAGTGAGATCGTATGGTATTTGGTTTTCTGTTCCTGCGTTAATTTGCTTTAGGATAATGGCCTTCAGCTGCATCCATATTGCTGCAAATTTGGACATAATATTTGTTCTTTTTATGGCTGCATAGTATTCCGTGGGATGTATGTACCATATTTTCTTTATCCAGTCAGCTTTTGATGGGCACCTAGGTTGATTCCACGTCTTTGCTATTGTGAATAGTGCTGTGACGAACATTAGGATGCATGTGTCTTTTTGGTAGAAGGCTCTGGAAACCAACTTTTATTATCAAATGACCTGAACTCCAACCTAATGGTTGATCAGAGGTTTGATAGGCCATTAGTTCATCTGTTGAATTGTTCAATAAAGTGTTTAAATTGACAGTTACATGCCAGGCAATCTTATAGGTATTTTGGAGGCATCTGAAAACTGAAACACAACAATCCCTGACCTCAGGGAACGTATCATTGGGCAAGGGAAGACAAACAGTACAATCACAAATAATTACTATTCAGAAGGCTCTAAGTACTATAGGGAAATCATAACAAGGTAAGGGGGTAAGAAATAGGAGTGGGATAGTGGGAAAAGTAGGATATAATGGGTGTTGCAGTTTTAGACAAGATGGTCAGGTTAGGCCTCATTGAGACAGTGACGTGTAAGGAAAGGCTAGAAGGAGGTAAGGAAATGTCTTACCTCACACAAATATCTGGGGAAAAAGATTTCTAGTTAGAGTGCTCAGTGAAAAAGCAAGATAAGAATGGTTTTAATATTTTTAAATGGTTGGAAAATCAAAAGAAGAATATTTATGACATGGGAAAACTATATAAAATTCAAATTTCGATGTTCATAAATCAAGTTGTATTGGAACACAGCTATGCCCATTTGCTAACTGGCTGCTTTGGTGCTACAAGGGCAGAGGTGAATAAATGTAACAGAGACCACATGACTCGCAAAACCTAAAATATTTGCAAGGGCATGTATGGTTTCATAAATGTAGAGGTGGCCATTTCAACAGTATTGCCAGGGCAACACATTGTCAAGAAAGGCAACCAATCAGAGGTAGAAAGGCAACCAATCAGAGGTAGAAAGGCAACCAATCAGAGGTAGAAAGGCAACCAATCAGAGGTACAAGTTGCTCTTTGAAGGACAGTTTTACCACTTGTAACATCTTTTAAAGTCTTAGCAGTTTTACTAGAAACCTTTGTTCAAATTAGTCTTCCAAAGGCAGTGAACAGAACAAGTTGATTATCATTAGGAATAGCCACAAATGTCTCTATCGTGTACCAAAAAACAGGTTTAATATTCCAATGAATGTTATCAATTGAACATCCCATGAAATCAGAATTTTGGGGACAAGTTGTATAACGCAGAAAGGTCTCTCTCCCTGGAGAAGCCTCCTGATGAGAGAACATCTCCTTCATCTCTTTCTGAGACTCTTAATGTTAAATATGAAAATGTGCTTCCTTTTAACGTCAGGCTTTGGAATATCATGGGTTAGCATTAAAAGCAAAATGGCAGGGCAGCAGAGCCCAATTTTATTGGTGGAAATGAAATAGGAATGAATGGAAATTTACGTTGTCATACAAAGAACATAAAGCATTCATCTTCCACATCTAATACCTCAGAGGAAACACTTGCCAAACAGTGAAAACAACACAAAGGAAAATACAGCCAGGAGGCAGAGACAGGCCGTTCCCAAAAATGTCTGGTAGGGCGCTAGACGCAACTTTTCTGAGATGTGATCCAATAAATTATTTTTTTGTATTTGAGCCAGATTTGGTTGGGGTTTTGTAACTTACAACTTAATAGCTCTAACATGAGGACAGATTCCAGAGAGAAATAAAAGAGACAATCCACGGACTTGGTGGGACTCAACATAAGATGAGAAGGAGGTGCATGGCTTAAAGGGGACTTCCGGAAGGTCACCTACCAGAGATGTGATGGCAGTGAATTCTTGCACAGAAACAGGTAGAAGGGAACGTGTCTGTGGAAGCTGAAAAATTAACTTCTGGACCTGTTAAATTTGAAGACCTGGTAGGTATAGCCCCTAATCACTGCTGAAATGTTCAGGAATGAATGTGGATGAGATGTCCATGGGGGAGTCATCAGCATAAAGCTATAGTTAGAAACCATTATAGTGAGCTACCTGAGAAGATAGGAAAAGAAAAGAGGACTGAAGAGTTCATCTTGGGAAAACCCAGTATCCATATTCAAGAAGGAGTAGGAGGAAGAGTCATAGAATATGGGAAAAGTGATTGGAAGGATTAAGAGAACAAGGAATATGCAGTGTCCCAAAAGATGGAGAGGAGAGGGTTTAGGGAGGCAGGGTTGGGGGCAGAGCAACAGGGATCAACATTTGGATGATTGGATTATGTGGATTCGTCTCCCAAAAGTTACAGAACAGCCACCTCTGAATGCTTGAAAGCAGGTAATGAATAAGGCAGATATCATATGATATTGACCAGCATAGAGGCAAATTTAGATCATCTGCTTCACAAATCTCCCATGCATATTCCTGTTCTCTCATCCCTTTCCGTAGCACCTCAGTGACCCCCCAGGCAGAGTTGCTAAGATGTCCACAAAAGCCTGACCTTTTCCTTTGTTTCAAATTCTTGAGAACTGGTCTTTCTCCAAGATCTAGGA